GGGGGGGGGGGGGGAGGTGACTTTCTTGCCACAAAAATTTACCGTGAATGCACGAATGCGTGAGTGTTGAAATCGGGACACAGACGCACTTGAACTGCAGTAAAAAAAACGAAGTTCACGTACTGTTCCCAAATCATAAGCGTGTTGCCTGGAAAAGTTCAAAAGTTTTCGAAACTGGGGGACTGCAGCCCCCCCTCCTTCCCTCTCCAGCTTCCCTAGTCCGTACACCTAAGCCTTAGACTAAATTTCTTTCCATGTTTGGAACTGCAAAATAGCCGATTTCAAAAAGTGGCGAAACTAATGAAGGTTGATCTAAACGGGACCAAAAAAAAAAAAAAAAAAAAAATCAAATGATGAAATAATAGAATAAATAAGTTTACCAGTTTTCGTAGCAATCTGTTGGCATTTCTGATAAATATTTTAGCCTCTGCCTTTTGTTTGCAATTCTGTTCTTTAACTGCATTCGCAATTCTTATCAACACTTATATATTAAGTAGATACATTTACCTGGTACAGGTTTCTCTTCCGGAACGGGCTAAAAAGGTGACAAAAGTGAGAAGATGAGGATTAATTCACAGACTTTCACCATGCGGACTAATAAGTAAGTTGATACTGCAAGGTTATATGAACGCTGAACATAAAAATTTCAAGTTATCACTTCTGCAAGAAAAACATCCTGCTCAGGTTTCTTAACATCCACTGCCTAGAGACTGGGTACGAGATAATGTCAGGCTTAATAATCATTGTTAAACCGCGCCCCTACAACCTAGGTTATGATGTAATTCACGGCTTGTAATAAGCTGAGGTCGCGTCTAGTCAAACACTGAGTTTATGATGTTACCAGTTGTTTTCAATGGCATGGTTAATTTTGTGAGGATACACAAAGCTTTTTCCATTTTTAAAGTCAAGCATGCGACCACCTTTTACATTTATGGGCAGTTTGATATTAAGCATAAAATAAGCAGTCTTTGCTTCAGTGTGATGCACTCTCAAAGCTCGTCGTAAGGACATCTGGTAAAGAAATCAATAAACGAGGGCAAACCCAGAGATTTCCGGTAAGCGATTCAAAACAAGAACACCGGATTTTCCATATATGTCGTAAAATTATTATTTATTTAATCATTTATTTAAAATTATAATTCTATTTTCTTGTAATTCCTGCCTTCACTGCAGTATCATTAAGCTGAGGTGAATTGCGGGTGCGAACTAGCAAATTTGAGGAATAATAAAGCAGGAAAAACAACTGGAACAACATTTTGAACTAAATTTTCTCGTGCTTTTTGTCATAGCATATTACCATAATTTTGAAAAAATAAACACGATGCAATCCGACCACATGCTGACCCAGGGTTTCTAATTGCTTATGTTCTTAAATTTTACATGATCATATAATTTCAAATCTGTAAGCTTTAGGGACCTACATCCTAGTTTCGGAAAAAGAGCTGTGTTATAGGAATCTTTCTCTCTTTCTTTCTTTCTTTACGTTCCTACCTTTATGAATTTTTTTTTTATCTCGGGTGCTTTTAAGTTTCTCTCCACGACAACCAATAGAATTGCTTTATTGCTGTTAAATAAATAATTCAAAATTCTTCATAAAATCTTCCTTAAAATCCAAATATTTGCTTAATTTTTCCTTAGACGTTGGTACTGTAAACATAATCATAGTATTCAGGGTACCAATTGCTAGGTTCTACTCGAAAAATCTGACACATTAGAAACGTGTTTTATTAAATTGACTTTAGACGCTATTTTCCGTGGATTGCATAATTTGAAGCGGATAGAAAAAGAAAATCGGGTTTAATAAAACATCTGATATTTAAGCCAGTTTACACAAATTTAATAAGTGCAGGTTGCGGCTTCGGCGATTGAAAATTCTGCCTTCATCGGAAATAACATTATCATATTACAAATGATTTCGTATTGCCCATATCACAATTCATTTTACCAATTTATCAATTAAAGAATACAACGAAATTAGATTCTTAAGTTTTTTTCTTTCTCGGTTGAAGGAAATGAAAAAAATTAAACCTTCTGCATTTATTTACTCGTCTTCTGATTATCGCATATTTTTTCAATATTATTCAATTTTATCGCAATAAATGAACATTATTTGTGAGTGGCAAAGTACCTCGCGTAATCTTTACCGAATGTAGTTAGTTCAATATGTTTAAAAAGGCATAAAAGCGACTTAAGGAAAATTCCGGCATGTTTTAGGCAGCGAAAAATGAGTGAGACACTCGTCTTTTTACGGGCTAAGAACTGCATGAAACAGATGCGAAATGTGGTGCTCCGAAAAAAAATTGAAACAGCTGGTCTTAATTTTCCGGTTCGATATATTCTTAAGAGCTTGACTATAGAGGAGTGCTATAATACTTGTTTTGAATTATCCCTCTTTACCTGCTGTACAGAGAATATTGCAAGAAATTTTTCCTCCATAACATTTTTATTTTTTCATATCCTTGTTCGATTTTGAACTGTTCTTGGTCTCCATCTCTCGTGACTAGGAAGTTATGGCAAGCCATTTAGGTTTGGCTAAAAACGCTGAATGGATAATATTGTGTCTAATGAGAATATATATATACCCAGATCGTTAAATTATTTATGCTTGGTGCATAATGTGAGAGTTTACTCAAATTATCATAAACTTCGAAATAAAAGAAAAATCCAGGGCGAGTGTTACAGTCTTGCTGTCGCAGCTTCAAACAAATACGTTTAAAAATCTTGGCAAGTCAATAGTCAAACTTATGTTCTTTGAATAGGGTCGCGTATTTTGACTTTGCGTTGAATACGGCTGCGATATACGAAGCTCACATAAATTACCGCCTTATCTGCACCATATTTTCACCATATTTCAGTTTACTGCATAGCGCAGTAGCACATTAATAAAAGTTATATTGAGTTGAAGTTTTCGCCCAACTGACCTAACGAAAGCACTAAAAGTTCTTAACAATGCATCAAAGTTCTCTTACTCTTATCTGATGGAAGGTCCAACCTCTTGAGTATATCTTCGACCTGCTGTCGCATTGTTCCTTAAGGCCATCGGAGTTTATCTCGCATGTGTTGTTGTCTTTATGGTAGTTGTACGAGATGCATTCAGGATGGTTGTGGCACGCTTGGAGACATGTAATCCACTCCACATTGAAAATCGTTTCTGTTACGTTTCCTGGGAAGTAGGTATCTTCGTGCGTTCTGGAGACGCTGGGAGCAATGTTATACAAAAACAAGAAAAAAACTGCCTCTAAGATCATATTAACCACTCTTAGTGCGATTATACTCAAACGAAAGACATCTCTGCATTAAATGTTTTTCATGATGTCAAGGTATCTCGAAAGAATTGCTAGCTATTACAAGAAATTTAGAAGCAACTCAGAAGCATAGCAATTCTTAGTTTCCCGTCTTTTCATAATGACCAATCAACATTATGTCCCTATTGTTCATAATGCGCACTGCTGTCTTCCACGAATGTAAACTGAAAGCCTTGAAAAGGAACGCAGAAGTTAACTGTCAAATCAGAAATGGCAATTGTCAATTTCCGACAACCTTTGCTCTGACGTAACAAAAGGGCTTTTTACGCACTTTACACAAATCAATAAAACTGGTTGTTCCATTTTGTTTTGGCAGCCGCGTCATATTGTGAATGATACTCAATTTATATAACAAACGTGAGAGGAAAACATGGCTTAAGACTACGAACAGTGCAAATAATGTCACTACAAAATACGTTTTCGCCCAATTTAGGTGAAGAAACGGTGGCCATTTGTTTAATAAAGACATACACGGGGCAGGGAAAAATTGATTAAAGTCTAATTAGGGTAGTTTACTCTTTGGGAAAGAAATCATGTCGGCGTTAATAAAAATTGGTGTTTTAGATGAAAAATATTTCGCTTGACGGGTGAATTAGGTTTAACTATTTCACTCGCCGGATCAGTAAAAATGATATCTTAATAACGCCTGCACCGGAGGTCTTTAACAAGCACCCAGAAACACTCTGCTCTAAAAGGTATAGTAACGCATCATCTTTAGAGCATTAAAACTCTTTAGTAGCCTGGTGGCGGCTTTCATTATAAACGACTATCAAGCGACGTGATCGGGACAGCATCAACAGAGGCTGTGACACTTCGAATTTGCTACTTGCAGAGTTCCATTATTATTGTATATGTATTATATGGCGTTTAACTTCCTTGGCGGATTATTTTCTGTAAATCTTTTTTCATCGTAGGGAAAATAAAAAAGAACTTCACTAACTACAGGTAAATTGTTAATCAATTCATAAATGGAATTAAAGTAAAATGAAAAATGAAAAATGATCTTCACAGATATTTTGGTTTGCAATTTTAAGCCATTTCTCAAAAAAATAAAAGATACTTAAAAAATTTGGAGCAACTCAAGGTTCCGTCTATTTCAATTTTCTCATTTAAAATTAGAAAGGAATTTTTTTAGTATCATATATTCCCGTCCTTAAAAACCTATGTCAGTCGTTATTGCGAATTATAATCCATCAAATATTTTCCATCACGCGCGATTGGTCTAAACGCGTCACGTGACTGAATATGCCCCTGCTAAAAATGGGGACTATCCGATTGGCATTCCCCAATTTTCAAAACTGCGCGTGTTTCGAAAAATATTTGAAGGATATTAAACACGCTCGAGGGAAACTGTGAGATTTGAGGAACAGATAATGTTCAAGGAAAAATATCCGAGCATATTTTCGCGCCAAGTAGAGGCTATTGTTTATTTATTCTTGTCTCCATAGATGCCGTCTTTAATATGAATCTATCAGTAAATTTATTTCTTATTTTCATCCTGATTACTCAAATTTCAAGCATGCCACCGTTTTCAACGTAAAAGCCATCTGAATACTCCCTCGTATAATTTCAATATAATTTTTTCAATATAATTTTTTCGAGATCGTTTACATCTATATTTAGTGAGAATTGCTGTGTTTGGGCAAGTTTTTACTGCGGGCTAAAAAATAACTACGACCAAAAATAAGCTGGGCGATTCCACACACTAAACCGTCTAGTCGTCATTTCTTATTTATCGCTTTTCTTTCCGGAAATCTACGCTTTATTAATTAAGGAGAACAAATGAAAACAAGGTGCTACCTTGTGCATTACGGACAATGCATTGAAAGCTATTATCATGTACAATTTGTATGATTACTTCTGAAGGACCATAACATGGTCTTTTTAGTATATTACTGCAAACTTTTCAATCAAAACAGAGTTTGTTGTACATAGTGGGACACAGAGTGATTTCAATTCGTTAAAAGAATTAAGTGGAAATTGCACGCAAGGCGCAAAGGAAGCAACAACATTTTTGCTATCAAGAACTTCTTCCTAAAGGTCAGAATATGCTAACTCGATGACATCTCTCCCCTGAGCCTTGGCAATACCCAACATGAATACTGCATAGCAATGAAATAATTACACAAAATAATTACATAACAGAGAGAATAGCTTCCCAAAATGAAAAAAAAGTCGATTGGCGTTTTACGGTCACACCCTATTACCCCAGCGGGCCTCAAAAATACACCGATAAATTTTACAGCTCAAAACTCCCGATGTTTAGTTTTAATTTTAATTTTTTAAAATTTTTTATTCGCTTTTTCATTTTATTTTGATAGTATTCTATAATAAAACGCGAGGAAGGGGAAACAATTAAAATTTGAAAATCCTACCGATTTTTAAAGTAAATCAAGGCATTTTTTGTTAATAGGCCACATTCGATATATCAATATTCTGTTGTGGCTCCGGGGCTTTCAGAACAAAGTTGGTTGTGTGTGTGTTTTTTTTTAATTTAAGTCTTTTTTGGGAGCTGAGGGTAAAAAAAAAATTAAAAATTTGCAATTTTGTCCTGAATGCCTCGGAACCATGGGAGAGTTTTAAAATATCGAACGTAGCCCATTCTTAATGTGGAATAACATTATGCAGGAAGAACTAAATAGCGTGCTTTTTTCGCGAATGTTTTTTGCATTGTAAGCTTTTAACGAAATATTCTGCTTGAAAAACACATATTTCCCGTGATTGAAATGAATTTTACTGTGCGGACTTTCTTTGCCTGTCTATCAGGCACAGGGTTTAGTCCAGTCCTTGAACACTGGCTTCCCCGTCCTAAAGGGGTTAGACCCAGGCGGGAGAAAAGCAAGTCCAGCATAACTTGCATGCGCATGCTCAGAATGAACCAATCAGAGCGTGGTGTTGACGCGCGCGCAAGTTCAAATGAAGAATTTGCCCTTTGCAGAACACGATCACATGATATTTTTACAATAACTGTCTAATTTCTCACGCGCTGATTGGCTCATGTTTATCATCAATAAGAGCACAGACGGATAAAATTTTAATTTATGCAAGCTTTCAAGTTCAACTCTCAGCTGTCAAACTGTCAACTTTTTTAACCAATAAGACTTTATGGACTTTTTTAAGTAGCCAATCAAAAAGCGAGAAAAGCTATTGACAATGTTCGCGTCAGTTTACTGCGGAACTACAGCCACTCTGACGATGTTATGAGGCAATTTATCATTAATAAGAGGACAGACGCATAAAAAACTGACGGCAATTTGTTAAAATGATGGATAGATGGTATAATGATGGATGTTTTGGATTTCTCAGTGCGCAGTTTACCATCCAGCAAAGGGCCTATTCAACATGTTTAATCGCGTAACCAAGAACAGTACTTAAATGCAAGAAACATTGTCCCGAATTGCGTAAAAATCTAATTAATAGATCGGTTTTCAACTCAGTGTCGAAAATCCAAAATCCAAGTAATCACTGTAGCCAATCACAAAGGACACAGACAATACAGTGAGCGTGGCAAAACAAGTGAGAGTGAGTAACGATTTGTTTTGGTTTTACTTCTGATTGGATCAAAAGGTGGGGCGAGTTAAGTTTTTGTTTAGTCGTATAGCGCAGTTGATGAAAATCCAATTACTTTTCGACACTCAGATGAAAACAGCTCTAACGAACATGTACTAAAACCAGGAACACCGGAAAAGTTCAAAACACTCTCAAACATTTCAACCTAACCACACGACTCACCGATAACAGATTTACTGTCAAGTACTTGATGTCGTAATTCCCGTGTGAAGTATTCGTCAATCGAGAGAGTGATTTGAACTCTAGCAAGTAAATACAAATAACAATTCGAAGATAGCAGTGAATGATTCTCTTTTGGCCGTAAGTTTTTAATCAAGGTTAAACTCTTTCAAGGGTGTTTTGGTGTTCCTGCTTGTACTTAATTCATGGGCAATGTACCAGGCGCGCACGCTTCCACGAGTTCTTCTATAGATGGTTTTTCTCTTTTTTTTTGGAGNCGGGGGGAAAGATGGCGGCGTTCTGAGCATGCGCATGCAAGTTATCCCGGACTTTTTTTTCTTCAACCTGGGTTCAAACTCTTATTTAGAGTGCGCGGACAACAGAGATTTCAGGGACTGGACTATCACAGGGTTACGCCCAGCAGAAATAAAATGTTTGTACCCATTAATACACCAGGGTGCAGATTGGCGCTTTCAGGGTAAAGCCCTGGCCAAACGGACTCCCAAGTAGACGCAAGTTGAAAACGTGGGTCTACTTGCGAGTCCGTTTGGCCAGGGCTTAATACCCAAGAACACAACACAATGACGTTGGACACGGCTTCCATTCGGTCCGCTTGATCCGGAGTCCAGGTGGTTCAGGAAATCATATAGTTGCCATAAAAACGTCCTAGTCACGAAGCTTCTCGATGTTTAATTATTAGGCATAAGTATTATTGAAGTCATATTTTATCTGTTCTCCCTCCAGACTTAATAAGTTCAACACCATTTTTGATCAAAATCCTCATAAAACAAAGTTATTATTGCGGCTAAATACTGAAAATAGGGCTAATTAAAGAGGCTATCGAATAGTACAATATTTAAAATAACTCAATCAATACTCTCAGGTAAAAAGGGAATACACTGATTTGATATTATGTGATGTTTTCTGTCCCTACGAGTAATATTCTTTACAGACCACTATGAGATACATCATTCGCTTCGTCATCTAAAATAACATACTTTTTTCGAAGTAAAAAATCCTTGTCCAAAGTACATTGGAGGTTTTCCTGACAACCATCCGGAATCAAGCCATAGCTTGGACGTATGTACGTCACGTTCCCTGATTCTTAACGTTAAAAGCTGCTAGGAAATAATCGAAGGCAGCGAGCACGTTCTTTAATAGCCTGAGTGTTACATTACGATAATAACCTTCCAAAAAGGCGTTAACTGACGACAAGGCTAGCGATTGCTCTTACTTTCCAACTCGGCTCAGATTCCGCCCTACATTAACGAACAGCACTTGCACTGAGGAGAAGAAGGTCCACTTGCCTTTCCTTTCTTCTGTTCGTTTTCGTGATCACCTTTCTCCTCCTCAGGCGCCAACAATAACAGCACGGGCAACGATTCGCCGGAGCGATCTTCCTTTTCCACGGAATCACCAACGGCAACATTAGCCTCACCCGGAGAGTCTGCAATAAGCTTTTTCTCGTCCGCCACGTCTTCATAAGGTTCTGTCTCAGACGGAGTAGCAACTGACACTTGTGGTTTGTTAATGGGCGTCCAGTCCTTCTTTCGGGAGTTGTCTACAAACGTAAACTGCTCCTGAGACTCCAGAATTCCACGATCCTCCGACGCAGCCAAAGGTGCCGAACCATCATTCTCTTTTTCTGGGAGTACTTCGGGAGCCGAGAGCCTCTTTCTAAGCACGTGACGCAAAAGCTTCTCGTCATCATCCCTGCCGTGTTGATTGAGTTTGGTGAAGGATGTTGATGCGCACGCTTCTTCTGTAGTACTCGTGTTTGAGTACTCCACTGTTTTCTTTTCATACGTTGTCTGTACCACATTGGTTTCCATCTCCTGCGTGGTTTCGTCGCCAGTTCTTTGATTAATGGTGACTGTAGAAATGACTTCTGTTTTAGTGATGACTTCACTGCGCTTCGATTCTTTTACTTCGTTACCTTTCAATTCAGGTACCTGAACTTCATCGTCAAGAATTTCTGTTTCACGGACCTGATTCTCCTCTACTTTAACCTCCACGGTCGTGTCGTCTGGCTTTTCGTCTTCTGTTTCCACCGTCTGTAGTAGTTCATAGTGAAATTCAGGAGCCTTTCTCTCCACAGCAGAAGCGACAGCTTCTTGTACAGAATCCTCAACTTCCTTCACTTTCTCTACTTCAGGTATGTCTAATACATGTACTGACGATGGTTCTTCCTCGGCAACGGATTCGTTTTCTTGGCTGTTATCGATAGGTGTCTTCTCTACCACAATTGGAGGAGTTTCTTCAACCGGTTTCCCTACTTCAGGACCTTTCTCGTGATCAATCACAACCTCTAAGTGAAGTGATGCAGGTTGCTTTTCTACGACAAGGGGGGATTCTTCTGTTATCGTCTCACTTGTATCAGTTTTTGTTTCCTCTTCTCTTTCACGTTTCGTGGCAGCTGGTTCATATTCCACCTCCACAGACTTGGTATCAACGTTTTTATCCTCTACCTTTTCTTCCAACATGGGGTGGTAATGGAATAATCTAGGCTCTGTTTCCCCTGCAACGGCGGAAACTTCTTCTCTTGGTTCTTGGACTTCATTGCTTCCTTCTTCGTTAAATACTTGCTCCATGCGAAGCGACACAGGCCTTTTTTCTATGATCTCCTGAGGAACTTCTTCTATAGGTTCTTTAACCTCTTCTTTGGGTTTAAACACAGCCTCCATGTGAAGTGATGTAGGTCGCTTTTCTACGACAAGTGGGGATTCTTCCGTTATCGCGTCCATTCCTTCAGTCTCCTTTTCACCTTCGAAATCAAGTTTCATGGTAGCTGGTTCATATTCGACTTCAACAGAGTTACCACCAACGTTCTCATCCTCTCTAGTTTCTTCCAACATGGGATGGTAATCGCACACCTTTGGCTCTGACTCCACAGCAACGGCGCAAGCTTCTTCTATTGGTTCCTGTACTTCAACGCCTCCTTCTTCATTAAACATTTGCTCCATATGAAGTGACACAGGTCTTTTTTCGATGATCTCGATAGAAGCTTCTTCGATTGGTTCTTTAACCTCTCCTTCTTCCTTGTGCACAAACACAGTCTCCAAGTGAAGTGATGCAGGTCGCTTTTCTACGACAAACGGAGATTCTTCTGCTATCACCTTCTTTGTTTCAGACACCGTCTCTTCTTGGTTTTCAAGTGTCGTGGCAGCTGGTTCATATTCGACTTCTACACAGTTACCATCAACGTTCTCATCCTCTACAGTTTCTTCCAACATGGGATGGTAGTCGCATACTTCTTCTTCTATTGGCTCTTTAGTGTCTTCCTTTTGGTCAAACGCAGCTTCGATGTGACGCCCCACTGGTCGCTTCTCTACGACAAGTGGAGATTCCTCTGCTACTGTCTCCCTTGGTCCAGTTTCGGTCTTTGTTTCCTCTTTTATGTCTGCTTTCGAGGCGACTGGTTCATATTCAGCTTCCACAGAATTGCCATGAACGTTTTCATCCTCTGCCCTTTCTTCCAACATGGGGTGGTAGTCGAACAACCTAGGCTCTGACTCTACTGCAACGACGGAAGCTTCTTCTATTGGTTCCTGTACTTCATTGTTTCCTTCTTCATTAAACATTTGCTCCATATGAAGCGACACAGGCCTTTTTTCGATGATCTCGTAAGGAGCTTCTTCTACTGGTTTTCTAACTTCCTCGTCTTCCTTGTGGTCAACAACAGCCTTCATGTGAAGTGATACAGGCCTCTTTTCTACGACAAGTGGGGATTCTTCTGTTATTGTCTCCTTGGTTTCAGTGTCCACTTCGTCTTTGTTTCCCGATGTCATGGCAGCTGGTTCATATTCGACTTCTACAGTGTTGCCTTCAACGTTCTCATCTGCTACAGTTTCTTCCAGCATGGGGTGGTAGTCGCATACTCGAGGCTCGAACTCCACAGCAACTGCGGAAGCTTCTTCTATTGGTTCCTGTACTTCATTGTTTCCTTCTTCACTAAATATTTGATCCATATGAAGCGACACAGGCCTTTTTTCGATGATCTCGTGAGGAGTTTCCTCTATTGGTTCTCTACGTTCTTCATCTTCTTTGTGGTCAAACGCAGCCTCCATGTGAAGTGATACAGGCCTCTTTTTCACGACAAGTGGAGATTCTTCTGTTATCGTTTCCTTAGTTTCAGTCTCCATTTCTTCTTCGCTTCTAGGTTTCGTGGCAGCTGATTCATATTCGACTTCCACAGTGTTACCATCAACGTCCTCCTCCTCTTCAGTTTCTTCCAACATGGGATGGTAGTCACACACTCGAGGTTCTGACTCCACAGCAACTGCGGAAGCTTCTTCTATTGGTTCCTGGACTTCAACGCCTCCTTCTCCATTAAATATTTGATCCATATGAAGTAATACAGGTCTTTTATCGATGATCTCGAGGGGAGCCTCTTCTATTGGTGTTCTAACTTCTTCCTCTTCCTTGTGGTCAAATGCAGCCTCCATGTGAAGTGATACAGGCCGCTTTTCTACGACAAGTGGAGATTCGTCTGCTGTCATCTCCACCGTCTGTTCTTCGTTTTCATGTGTCGTGGTAGCTGGTTCATATTCCACTTCTACACAGTTACCATCAACGTTCTCACCTTCTACAGTTTCTTCCAACATGGGGTGGTAGTCGCATACTCGAGGCTCTGACTCCACAGCAACGGCAGAAGCTTCTTCTATTGGTTCCTGGACTCCAAAGCTTCCTTCGTGTAACACTTGTTCCACGTGAAGTGACGCGGGTCTTTTTTCTATAACTATAGGAGAGGATTCTTCAATGGGGTCTCCCCGATCTAACGCCTTTTCGTCCTCTTTATGATTGCCTACCCCATTAGAGTTCAGCACCTTTTCACCCTCGTGTGAGTCAGGGAAATCCCCAGCTCCTTGCTCTGAGACAGATGTCTCTCCTAGGATTTCTTCTTCCTCGTTGCCTTCTGCAACACCCGAATCAAAAGTCAGTTCCATCTGTAAGGACATAGGAGTCTTTTCCACTGCTATGAGTTCAGATTCTTCAATCAGCTGCTCATCGTCCAGAGCGACTGCTGTGTTTTCAGGTCCTTTCATGGGAAGCAAGATAGGAACCTTCTCCATTTCTGCCGCCACAGACTCTTCGACGGACTCCGTACTCTTTACAGGAACGCCGTTGACAATTGTGGACTGCATACGGAGCGAAACCGTTTTCTTTACGACCACAGTAGGTGAATCTTCTCTCAGTTTATTTGTTACTGTGACTTCCACAATGTTTTGCTGTTGTTCGAACGTATTAGCTTGTTCAGAGCCAACTTGACCATTTGTATAGAGAGACAAGTGATTCTCCTCGTGAACCAAAGATGCGTTGCCTTCAGACGCCATGGCTTCTTCTTCCATTGTGGTTTACCAGCGTATTGCTCTTTAATTCTCTAAGGAAAAAAGGAATTTGTCATAAAATAACGTTACCAAGAACGCCTGTTGCAAGAGACTGTACAAAGTGACTTTTAGATGTTTGGTCAAGCCATAGTTAATAGAAAAAAATGGTCCTCAAGCCGACAAATTCTTTGAGTGTTTTTGCTCGCTTTTTCAGTTGGCCTTGACCGTGCACAAATGTTTATTGTTTACTTGTGACCGAGAATCCATCCAATTGAAACGTCTCGGATAAGCGATTCATGCATAGTGTACCATCACAAAACAAAGCATTGTACATTGAGGTTTTTGGACCTTCCTACATAAATCTTGTCACGTTGGCTTGCTTCTTTGAAATTTCCCAGGCCTCATAACCATGCAAGCGGTTCCCTATCGTCTTTCTTCTGATTGCTTCTTGAAGCAACAAGTGGAAGTGGAGAAATCCTGGGAGCGAGTTCAGGGTCTCTTATGCTATCTAAAGCTATACCTGAACTTTATTGAAAAAGCGCAGCCCATCAAATTCGATCGCAGATTGTCCGTCTACATATGTATCCGGTAGTAATTGCCTGGAGAGACTAAAGTGAAAAACCTGAGTGCATAGGCAAAAGTTTCTTAAGTTTCCCAGGCTTTTAATATTTAGAGTCAATACTCGAGCGATGAAATTTTTTCTCGCGCGATATAAACTGAGAAATATTTTTTCGACTGGTTTTTAAATCATCGACCGATAGCTAAATATTAAGTTATATTATATTATTATTATTATAGCTACTGATTCTAACATCTCGTGATCTTCACAGGGCTAAATACCTCGACAGGAGCCCGTTGTTTCCAGAATTTTTCAACCGCTTGCTGAAATGACACGTGGCCTTCTTGGTCCTGACCATGACCCTTGTACAATAATCATGACCACTTATGCCCAATTCATAGGATCTGAACACAGTTTTCATTCAACTTTTGCTCGTTGAAATGGAAAATTTTTAATAATGGTAAATCAATAAATAGTTTGGGTAAATACAAAATGTTTACGGGTTTCCTTTTGTCCTATGCACCACTGGAGAAAGGATCTTCGTTCAGACTCTTATTTTAGCACAATTCTCTTCAATATAAATATCCTGTCGCAGGTTTATTGTGGAAGGTTGAATTTTAGGATAATTATGAGGAAGTTTTGGAAGAGCAAAAAGGGATGGAGGATAACTGGATATGAAATATTAAAACAGGGAGAATAGTCCTAAGAAATTCATCTTGATTATCACGCCATAAAATACTCCGTGTTCTCATGCATGTTCGTCGCGGCCTATTTCGAGGTAAATCCGTTTTTTTTTTTCTTTTTCCTATTTTTCCTCCGTTGATGGTAATCAAATTTCATATAAAATATAGCATAGATCATACGAAGAATGAAATATAGATCATGCGAACAATGTTAGCGATAGCGTGACGGAAATTACAATAACCCTATAATGGAACTGAACAATGTAAACATGAACAAAAGAAGGTAAGATGAAAGTAGCGTAAAATCTAATTACTCGAAAGCCGGCTGATCCGTAGACTTAAAAATAATTTAATCGACCTAGACAAGTTGCATTAATCGTCAGCATCGTATCAAGGCTACGTACAGTTCGATGCATAGTGGATGCGAAGAACACATCCAGACATTTATTAGGAAGAGAGAAAGTCTTGTTAATTAAATCTATTTTAAAACAAAATTACTGTCTCACAAATCAACACAAACAAAAGCTAACTAAACAGCGTAGCAAAATGAACTACGACTCGATGAAAGCTGGAAAGCTGTGAGTGAATCGCTGAAATAAACATTGCGCTGGAAAAAGGAATGATGCACATATTAAACAAAATAAATATTTAAGTAATAAGTGTATAAACCACTTGTGCATGATTTCTATGTTAAGAATGAAGAAAATGAACAGAAGCTCAGAAATGCCGCACGGACATTTACTTACCCCTAAGAAACAAGCAGTACTATTTCATAGCGAAAAGGTCAGTGAATTTTGCGAATGATTTGTTTTCAAAAAATATTTTTTTCAGCACCTCCTCTGAAAGTTGAAAATTCTATCATATGTTATATTTTAAACAATACGGTTAAACTCTACGCGCAAATTTGGGTACCTTTGCTTCTATTCGATCCGATCGGTAGCGACACATAACGCCATAAGCGATAAATTTTCATGGTCATCTGTCAGATGGTCTGAATAAAAATTTTAGCTTTTCATAAAACTTCTGGCTCTAAAATATGGCGAACAAATGTCTCAATAAAGCCGAGACTACTCAACAGACGAAACAACTTTAAATCGGATCTCTGGCCATCGACCGTTCTGGAATGAGAAATTGATTCCTTCCGAAAATTCTGTCTTTATGTAAAGAAATACGTTATGGCTTGCATTCATATAGCCTGAAAGCTGTTCCTGTCAACAGAACAAGCGATAACAAAGTAACTTCCTGCTCTTAAATGCTACATGTAAAACGAACAACTAGTAGAACTTCAAGATGTTATTTTGACTGCGCGTATCGAACACACCCGCAATGTGGTAACTAGAGCTTTCCACGGGAATATGTTCTCGAAAACGTCTCTTTACTTTGAATATAAACACTGAGAACACACAATGAAGGTTTCCGAATAATAATAATAAAAAACCTGTCGGGTGTCTTGTGAACATAAACATCTACTTGATCAAATTTTCAAGCCACTCACCTTTTAGTAGAGGTCTCAGTGTAAGTCTACGATCCGCGAAGAAATAAACAAACTAATGTTCGCAGTACGTCGCCTAAAAACTGAAATATGATGATGTGTTTTCGATGCCCCAAAAAGATAATGATTCTTCGAATTTCAGCATTCACCAAAAGTCATTTGCTCTTTAACGTGGAATCCTCATTTTGCCGGCCGCAGCTATAATTTTCTCAGCAGGGTAAACATATATAGTTTCCGCTACAAGTCAATTCTCAACATATTTTTAAAATTCCATTTCAATATTGACAGTATTCATGTCTCTAACAAGATTACCGCACGCGGTTAATGTTTCGCGCGTGGTCTGGCGTGACGAATCGAATCGATCCTGCGCGCGCGTGGAACGAAGATGTTGTGCTTGTCACGCAACCTCACCTAAACGAGGGAGAAGCTAAACTTTCACATTCATGCAATAAAAGTCTACACATCAACTGTCTTGTTATAAATGTATTTTTATACGCCTTATCTGACTTCCATGAAAATTCCCCCCTTCCCCGGTGACTCCCATATAAACAGGACAGGGGTCCTCAACTGAAATGTTGAAAAAATAGGTAGCAAGATCCTGATTTGTGGGTGTGGCTTGAAATTTTTTTTTTCACCCTCAAGATGTACCACAGATTTATCTAGGATGTAAATTTAACAGTGATAAAGACAATTGTTTCTAAACACCTTCTACTCATAAAAGTTGATTGCCAAATATCTCCTCTCATATTCTTTTCTGCTCATATCCTAAAAGGTCCTGCGAAACCTCCTGCTGTGGACCTTTTGAGGCTGAACACCTAAGAGGTACCAAACCACTCTTTTAATCCCTAAAAGGTATGATGAGCAACCCATCTTTTTTATATGGGAGACCCCCAGGGGAAAATTCAGCATTATAATTTACGAGTAATCACACGCACAATTTACACCTGACCCAACCCGGTAAAGGGGAACAAAAACCAGTTTTTTTTCTTCACAAAATAACCTCTGCTGAACCGAATAACGCGAGCACCCAATTGTCATGCCATCATGGTGTGAATATAGTTGTTTAACAAATTAATGGTAAAGCTGTGACCTCGTTCCAGTCTTGAAGACTGGAATTCATCAATCAACTGGTACTCGTTCCCCTGACTGAAACATTTGCTAGAGATAGTATTTATCACTACTGCAACAAAACCAATGGTATTAACCACAAGCACAATAAGGTGAAGAAATTCTACCTACATTTATAGCTGTAGCAATAATTAAGTTTGAAATTTTTTTAAGTCTATTCACAAACAAAACTCACTCACTCACTCATCCTCCTTGCTCTTGTGAGTAGAGCATAAGGCTATGCAAATAAACAAAACTAAAATATTTTAAATCATGAAGACTAGAAACACATGCAAAATGTGTTAATATTATTGGCTGAGGGCTCAAGTTTGAATGATTAACAATAACCTGCATGCCCACCTTCTACATTTACCAACAAAAAAGTCCAACATTGTACTAAAGATTAAGTTTCCATAAGAAAACAATGACAAAACATAAACCACAACTGAAAAGCTAGCCAGTATTGTATCTGTTTTGCAAAACACCTTCTAAATTAGGGTTTACAGATCACGTCAGGTCTCGACTTTTTTGTTGTCAATCTTCAGAGTTGCTTTTGACAATAAAAATATCATGAAAAAATTGGAGAAAAAATTATAAAATATAACAGTCATGCTTTTTCCCTTGAAATAAATGTTTCCACTAAATAAGACTACAGGTACATCACACCATCCTACTTAAATATATAAGTTAAAATTTACACACCATAAATTATTAAATAACTTGATTAGCCCATATTTTCGAACAAACTGCCTCAGTTGATCTAACTAACAAAATAATGAAAAAATATGTGAATTTGATTCCAAATTAAAACTACTTCACTCTATTTTTCATATTCCGAAATTTTGTTCACCACCAGAACTGACATGTAGCAAATAACATGTCTGCCAGCCAAAGGTTTGAAAAAATTTTGCAATGCATTTAACTACCTCACATAAATTGAAATAACTACATAATTAGCATTTGAAGTTCAACCAAAACCACAAATTGTAGCTAGCTAAGATAATGAAAAAATATTAAATACTAGTTATCATTAGATTTGCACTTTTGATGACAGTTTGTACTTGTTGACTCAGTGAGAGGCTTGACTTAAATTAGTGGACACTCAGAAAAGTGAAAATCATAACTATTGCAATGACGTACATGACAAAAAATGTAATTCCAAGACCAATAGCCATATAAGCAAAATTCCGTGCTGAGTTTGAAGCAATTGTGGCAGCATTGTAGTCACCTCGGGCCACGGAGTTCCGAACCTAAAAACAATTTAATGACAAATTATGACTTCTTGCTGAATGACATGCTATTACATGAAAGGAATACTTCATGTGCACATAGATGTATAGCTTAACACACCTTGCATGCACTGCTTGAAAGTATATAATCACAACTGTTTGTAAATTACTAGGTAATCTTATTATACACTTTAAACCCTTTTCAACACTTATTTGGTTTACAGTGCAACTATATACAGACCAAGCCACCTAGAAAACTAGTTAACCAATCAAAACATAAACTGAGAAAAATGAATGAACTGGTACACTGTAACTTCTCATGACAGCAAGTAAGGACCTGTTTGATGTGAAAACATTTTAACGCTATTGACTCCTTGAACTGCCCTAATACAGTGTACAATGTCACTCTGAGCTTAGATATTTAGTCTTTGACAGCGAATTATCATATTTATGTAATTATAACTCTCGCCTGAAAAATTTAGCTTAAAAACTCATTTGTCACTGACAGCTAAATCAAAACTGTTGAAAAGTGTACAAAATTTAGGATCAAAACTAACCAATCAGCAAACGGCAAAGTTTTCTGAGAGGTTTGCAACTCTTTGCACTTTGTTGGGTTTTCAATTTTGTTAAAGTGCTACTGCAATGATATTTACACTTTTTTTAAATTCTGTATATATGCTTCAGAGTCCCCTTAAATTTTCAAAAATTTAAGGTGGCTTTGGACCCCATGTATAGATGTTTTTAAAACTTTGCCAAAAGTTGCGTCTTATCGTGCTTATTAAAATTTGATAATACAAAAAAATTTCACCATGCCGTTTTTGAATTATAAGCCTCTCAAGCTGTAATTAAGGGTGTTTTTAGAAGGTCATACTGTTGCTATGGTAACGTACTGTGTCACGAAATTGATGACAACGGGTTCACCAATGATTGGGCAGTTTTTTGATACCATGATTGTAGCATCAAGTGATAAAGAGTGGTTATAATGACCCATCCAAATCTAACTGCTGGAAACTGTTTTGAGCCACCTTAATTGGTTTATTCGAGAAAAAGATTGTTAACCTTTAATTACAAGTTCTCTAGTGACATTCTGATTGGTTGGCCCGATTCAAGTAGCTGCACTGCACTGTAAGTGTACCTAATAGTAGCCAAGCTTGCTTACCTCATTAGATTTTAGTATTGCCACAATACCAAGAGGCCAGCAGCAACAAAGGCAGGCAAACCATGCCAAACCCTGATAGTCAGGGGGAGAAGCTTGTGGCACTGGTTGCACCATGTAGGCTGGACCAGGTTGCTGCAAACAATCGAATCAGATGTTATGATCATTATTCACAGTCATTTATGCTCTTAATTATTTCCTTTTATGTGAACGGCTATCAGAGTGAAACAAAACACAGCTCAAGCGTTACTAATATGTGAGCTAGCAAGGCATGCGAGGCATGTGAGCCAGGATCCCTAAACATAATAAGCTCACTAAGCTAACTTAGGCTAACCAGAGAGCTGTTTAGAATAAATGTAGTGCTAGTTAGGCTAAGAGGTGTGTTATTTAGACTAACCAGCAAGTGAGCCGTATAAGCCAGTAATCCTTACTGGCTCTAAGCTAAGGCTAGTACTGTGAGCTTTTATGTAGTGGCAGAGGTGGTGGTGGTGGTGGGCTATTTAGGTTAACTATATTTTATTATAATAAGTTAATTCGACTGTGCCAAAAAGAATGGCTTGCATGTACACTTGCATGACTTGCTGACTCACACTTCATGCAGACCCAAACACCAACAGATCTCATTAACATGATAATGTATACTGGTATATAGTTTTCATCATTCTTTTTCAAAGACATGGTAGTAAAGTTATATACAGTGTATCATTTCATATTGAATCATATTGTAAACACGGTCTGTACACAAGATCCAAACAACAAAAAGCTCAGAGCCATTTCGGTGCTCAGACATGTTATCCAACCATGCTGTACACAAAATTAGAAAATGGACAATTTACACTGTCTGCAAATTTTAGTTGGACAATGTCAGATGACCGACGTATACATGTATGTACATGTATGTGTGTAATTAAAATGCGATTGATCAATTTAGCGAGTTGTACATTCTACTACAGGAAAGCTGCTTGTCGACAAAATGTCTTGTGATGGGCCAATTTTTACTAACATATGGTGAATAAATGTTTATAACTTTTGTTTCCTTTTTCTTTTTTTTCTCTCAACATGTATTTTCTAAGAACATTTTGTTTAATTACATAATTCATGTCTGACTCAACCATTTAAAGCCATTCTGCATGAGTTCAGGAAATGGTTTCTCTCATCTGTCAGATACAAAGATGTACAGTAGAGATGTTCCACATAGTACTAGTTTAAACCTAAGTCTCCTTGATCCATCCCATAAGTTATGGATCCTTGTTTATTTCTCATTGATTTAAAGGCTGCATGCTTTACATGAACTTAAGACCGAAAACTTAGACAACAGACCTCAAACGTTACTTAGTAATCTCAGAGCTTCCCCTATTTATACAACAACACACTTTTTGTACAAACTGTAATCAAACATTGCAAAAACTAAAATTAAGCTAACAAACTCCACATATTAGATACCATATACCAGTCATAACTGATATAGCTATTAATTATTAATAACATATTAAACAATCAATTCACAAATTTGTAAAGTTAAAAGCAGATGAATGCAAAACATACAGCTGTTGAGACCATGAAGCCACCCACAGGAGCACCAAGATACATAGGTTGCCCAGGGTAACCAGGTGGTGCGTGGTAACCAGGTTGCCCAGGGTAACCAGGAGGTTCTGGGTAACCAGGCTGGATTTGTTGAACAGGTTGCCCAGGGTAACCAGACTGCTGAGGGTATGGGGGTGGGGCATCTACCGGATAGCTATAGGCTGGTGGGGGTCCATCATCTGTTTTGTTGTTAGTGGCAGGCTGAGAATCATTGGCTGTTGAAAATGGAAAATAACAATATTTACTAACAAATAAATAAAGGACATTTTTGTTATTTCAATACTGACAGTACTGAGCACATTCTAATTGGCTACAGGGCTCCTTATGTGTTTGTTTTAATCAATATCACAGCATAGCACATTGTACAGTCTGCTTTTACCTTTAGGGGCTCTCACAGTTTTTTTGGCCCTATAGTTTGAGTACTGTGAATCAAGGAGTTTTGGTTGTCAATGGACAAGCCTGCACATGAACCTGCTGGAAATCATGGTATTTACAGTATTCATCAATTTGAAAACAAATAAGATGATGAATACAAAGTCTATCATGATTCCGTGCAGGGGAATCTCATAGAGGGAATTGGGAGTTGGCAGCAATGACGCTGAAAGTGTCAACAACAACAACAACAACAACAACACGGTTTATTTGAACTGTAAAATTTCCTTAATTACTAATTAATAAATAAATACAAGTACAAAGAGCAAAGAGAACATTCACTTCTTCCTTCTTGAAAACTTTCCCTGTACTGATTATTGTTCTTGGGCTAATCGCCTACCTTTATCTGCCATTTCTTAAATGACCAAGTCCACTTGACCAGCAATGCCTCCAGATCAGATCTATTTATAATACCAACAATTGAAAATACATGTAGTTGCATTATCTTCAGAAGCCCAAATTGTTCCATGATTTTGTTCCTTTAAATAAGACTTTAAATTACAGTACTTGATGATCTCTGCTGAAAGAAAACTCTATGGAAATCTAGTTAATATGGATGGAGAAATGAAAAGAAGACTTTGTCAGAGTAGGTTCTAAGTAAGGTATGAGGATTGTGAGACACACATGACCACTAAAAAATAACAATACTGAGAGAACTGTGAAATTTGACAAAACCTTTGCCAGACACATTCTTTTTGAAGTACCATTTTTTATCAAGAATATTATTTGGTGAGGAAACTGTGAGAGGCAGAACAGATTTCTATTAATTAAGTAAATGGTGGTCTGATCTTCTCCCTTATTAGACCTTCAAATACCTAACAGAAACCTGTAGCACTCCAGGCAGCACTTAGCTATTTGTCAACTTGAAGAGTTAAAACCGCAAGAATCAGTAATTACGTGACGCTGCTCTTTTGAGTGTTAGGTGTTTGTTAGAGCAACTGTACATGTGAAACTAACTAATAAAAGAAACTTGTATAGGGTCATTCCAATAATTAATCCTGACCAGTATTTTTGTTTCACCCCAGTTTTATGCCTGCAGGTAACATTTCTGGAGTTGAATGCCCAGGATTTTTGTCTTTTTACTACCCAAAGATTTTTTTAGATGTCTCCCCAAATGACTTTTGAAATATTGTAGATTCCCAAAGAGGTTCTGACTTAATTGCTGATGACATTGAAAGATTTCCATGTAAGTTGCTGGACTCAAACATGATATTTGATACTAGACTTTTACTAACTAAGACTTTTTCAAGATGTGTACATAGTTAATGTTTAATAGCAAAATTAGATAATTTATCCACTTTCAGTTTGCCAAACCTGATATGTTACTAGAATTTTAGATGAACTGTACATGTATTTATCATGTATATACTTTGTACAAAGTTTAATTTAATTCAATTTAATTTCTCATGCACGACCCCATAAGCTACTAAGCTTCAATATTAATTTTATCATGCTTAAATAAAGGTTGTCTGTCTGACTATTTTCTAACAAAATGGACACTTCTGCTCACTTACAATGCGTTATTGTTGGCAAGCATACAGTTTGTAGATTAAGTGGAAAGAAAGTACCGTGGTGTTAATTTACACACTATGGTAATTGTAACAGCTACAGCAACACGGACGACACTATGGCAAAACTTCTTGACGTCTTGTACGAGCTTCAAGTTGTATCCGATACGGACTCATATTAAATGGAGATAGCTGAGGGGAATAGACCCGGCAGTGGTTGCTCAACTCCTATTAGCTAGTTTTTACTGAACGTTCAGTCTTTATGGTAGAAAGAAGCTTGCATTGTTCAAGTCATACAAGAGACTTATTTTATAAACATGGCCAGGCCAACGTCATGCAATTTTGTTTGATCGTATTTTTTAGGATCAACAAGGACTGTAAAAATAAAATCAACTTAGCTTAAGGATGCAGACAAAACACTGAGATTTTGTTGTAAGATTCCTGAATAAATCGTTTATTTCACTTCTTGGTGGATGGAAAATATTGAATCATACGACGTACCAGATGAAATGTAAGAGTAAAGTTCTACATCGCTTGTGTTGATATTTGTAACCAGCATGACTGTGTGCGGACCAAAACAATTAAGACTCTAGACTTCACTTACCAGCATACAACAGGAATGAGTAATGTTCCTCTACTTGCCGTAAGAAGAAAGTTCTTCCACGATGGTTTTAAAATCACCGCAGCACGATTGACACGATTGAAGGAGTTCGAATGATGTCACAGCTGTGAGATACCAATAGTGTTGTGTAAAACAAATGAAGTGTAACAAGAATGCTTTTCGTCAATACCCAAGAGGGTAGCAGTTAGGTGCCAGGCAAGAATAGTTAATTTTTTTTTGTTTTGTTTCTGGCTATCTTTGAATGCGAATACAAAAGATTTAAAAGAACTTTGTTTAAAGATAATGTTTCGATTAGCTATGCTAGCTGGTTGAAAATATCTTTCATAATTCTTTCTCAAAGCACGACCACTGTGGTCGCGACAGACACCCCGACATACCCACCCTGGGAATGGTCTATAGATTGCCACCTGATTTCCGCGCGCTTCACTTGCGTTCTGTAGCGCGCGTGAACAAAGCAATGATGGTGAACATCTCGTTCCTGATTCTTTTCTGCTTCATAGCAGCAGGCTTGCAAGTTGTAAACTGCAATCCACCTGTGGGTCAGCCAGTAAGTGACAGCAATGTTCCAGCTCCCAAATTGCCAACGTTCCCCTCGGCATTTTCGGCGCTTATAGAGGTGAACATTGTGAATAAAAACTACACTGCCCTCTTCAAAGAATTCTACGATTTGGAAGCAAACCGGGGTAGTATCGAGAGAACAAAAGATGGAAAGACACATCGCTCTATTTACGACTACAACTTAGACGAAAAGACTTCTATTGACTTGAATGCTAAAAACTGCACTGTTTATTCCATTAGTGGTGGCCGGGGTTTCAACTTTTTTGGAAACAACAACTCGCACATCGAAAGTGTGGCCCAGCTGTTTAGATTCGCCAAGCAGTATAATGAATCTTACAGGGGTGTTGTGCCCGTCCGAGGCATAAGGTAAGTTCATGTAATGCGGTACAATCATTGTAAGTTTATAACTATGAAGAACTGTGTTCTGCTCGCAACTCGATTTTTAGGTGATTAGTTTCAGTTCTAGTTTCGTTCAATTCCCCAAACCGTGCAACGTTTTATCTCCTTATGAAGAGCGAAGTGTTTGCAGAAGCATAAGCGTAAAAAAAGATAAGCCTTCTTGAGAAACATTTTGCGGTAAGCCGCCGGAGAAAACTTATATGTTTCCGTCAAGTGGGTGTTGAGCTTTATTTGATGTGCACTAATCCGCCATCTAAATAATTAAAATAAAATAATGCATAAGTTACGTAATTACACGATTTGAACATTCTGCAAACATTATTGTGTGTCAACTTTTCTGTAGCCCGGTCCTCACTTACGACGCAAGCATACGCATAAGCATAAGAGAAGCTTACGCGCTATTGAGGACTGCCGGACATAAGTTAGATAAACATAAAAGAATATCAAAACCTTTCATTCTTCTTATGCTCATGCTTTTAATGGTCAATGCTGCTTTTGTGTCCAGTGGGGACATGTTGGTATATTAAGGCATAAGCATAAACGTAAGCGAAAGACTTTCAGCCAATCAGCGAGCATTTTATGCTTATGCCAACCATGTCCTCACTGAATATAACACTGACATACAAGCAAGCATAAGCATATTAAGCTTATGAAGAAAGTGTATGCCTGTGTCGCAGCTATCCGCATAAATGCATAAGCTCCTCGTGTGTTTGCTTACAGTTTGCATCCTAAGTGAGGACCAGACTTTAAAACAAATTATTGAAGCTTTGTTATCATTTATAATTACTTCTACAGCTGTATCTACACTGTATGTTTGGTGTACAAACAGGGCTGAATATTATTAATGGCTCAATATTTTAATGCTCTTGAACCTTTCAAAATGTGGATATGGATCAGTAGTTTTATATAAAAGCCTATCACGGCAGTGACTTAGCAAGATTTATCTGACAAATTAAAACTTGCTGTGTCACTGCTGTAATATTTAAAAACACAGAACCGTGAAGTTGTTGCCAGTTGCATGTACATTGTATCTAAACATTAACATACATATGGGAACTAACTCATGCACACATGCATGCATTCATGCATACATCTATCCACATAGCATAAATAGTTACATATTGATATAATTTAGAAAACACTCTGTAGGAAAGTGCGTGCTAAAAGCTGTATTTGGACTATAACTCAATAGAAACACAAATTGTTAATGTAGTGATACATGGGGCACATTATATTAACCAAAGAGAATAATTTACATTTTGATGTTCAAAGTAAACAAGTTTTTTTCTTCTTTTGTTTTTATTGCAGTGTTTTCTAAAAGAAATATGAAACACGCTCACCCTGTTTCTGTATTGTATTTAAACAAGACTGTTTCTGTTGAGGAATTATCGGCTGATAGTTGTCCCACAAAATTTGATCTTCATAAAATAAATATTTGGTTGACGAGAAGTGATTGAAGCTTCAAGGGCAAATATGCTAGTTTTAAGAACATCAAATTTCCAAGGGCAACTACATGTAACATACCAATAGTTCCAAGACATAAACACTCTAATTGTCTTAAATGTTCACCACTAAATTTTCTTTTGTATGCCAGTTCAAATATTGTGTTGAATTATTTTCAACTTTTTTTTAGATGAAAGGCATGAAAGGCAAATATAAAATTTGAAAAAAGAATGCATGCAGACAATTGCTTTTTCCATTTTTTTCTTTAAGCCCAGTTGTTTTACAGAAAAATTTTCACAGATTAGTACTATCCATCTGGGTATTTTCCTTGGATGGGCACTGTGTGCTGATGGTGTCTCTCCGCTGATGAACACTATTGTGTCACGTGATCAATTTAAACCAACACGAATTGGAGAAAATTTAGTGGAAAATTTAGTGAACTATAATTAAGGAGTTATAGAAACACTCGTGAAAGTTTGGGAGAACTCAAAAAAGACGTGGAAACACTTGCCTTTTGGCTTCTGTTACCACAACTTTCTGGTTCTACCAAACTTCCACTCGTGTTTCTAGAACTCGATAGAAACACAGAACATGTTCTCCATCTGCTAAATATTATCCCCTCTCTGACACATTAGACCCATCGCAAAGGGAAGGGCAGGGGGACTAATAGCCCCCTTTGCAGGAATTAAATTTTGTTAGCTGTTGCTGAAAGTTTTTTTGCAGCTTTAAAAGGTGAAGATGTACGCTTAGAGTCCATAGTGTGCTGCATTATTATTCGTTTCTGTTAGTAGTTGAGGTGGCCAGTGAAGAGGTTTTAAACTGATATTAATACTGATCTGTGTGTTTTTTTTTTTTCATTGTAGATGCAATCACTGGAGAGCTCAGATTGTTCACAACCACAGTTCTTATTATTTGGATTACTATTTCTCAGTGCCCGACTGGAAAACAACTTGGCAGAATTCAACAGTAGTACGTGCTGTTATCAACGGTACAAGCTCTCCAAGACCCCAGGCCAGTGCACATGCCTTCTTTCATGTTTATGACTTTATTGACTTTCACCCTGGCTCCCCAGACTCATCCAATTTTCAGTTTCCTGCTGGATATTACTGCCGAGGACTTAAAGGTGAAAACAAGACAGTTCCTCAAGTTCCTTCAGCTTTCAGCCTGGAATTTGAAACAGTTACTGTATCAAGTAGAAACAGTTATAGAAATTACACAGTGTCAACCCAGAAGGTAGGTGCAATATGTGATATGTTACTTAATAAAGTTGCATCATCGTCATCATAATCATAGTTTTTTCCAAGGGAACTTTCATCTACTGGTTGCCAAAAACCTTTCTAGTGTGCCTATAATTGTAACCCCTGGCAGTGGACTCCAACATGGGCAGATTGAAGAAAGCAATGAACTATTAGAAGAGTGAGTGTGTTTGGAGAATGTTCTGTGTAGTGGGTCACAATGCTGGACTCGCCCAACACATTGCATGATGAAAAGCCTTATGTTTGTGTACAGCTTGATCACAGTGGGACATGGGTGATGGCAGTATTAAATTTGTTCACTTTTTACCGCTTTTTTCTTCTCATCTGCCACAAGTGATGAAATATATATTTTATTAGCTAACCCAGTAACAGATCTCTGCCTTTAATATACGTGTATTTCTCATTGTAACAGGAAGTTTATGATCTTGAGAAGAAGCTTGTTTTGGTGACGCACCCCAACCGGTTTTATCCTGATGCTGGTCCAGTGCTTACAATTCATGACTTCAACACGGGCATTATCTACAATATCTCATCTGGCAAGATTGGAACAGTGTGCAAGGCATCTTTTGAAACTCTCAATAAGGACAGGTGGTTTGCAGAGGACAGTGAACATCATCACATTCGCATGAAGACAACCCAAGAGCTGTTTAATGTCCCACAACGAAATGGTTCTTCTCCACTGGTATACAAGGGGACAACCTCGGTGCGGGGCATCAATGCTGACATCTGGGTTGGCAAGGCTATGATAACGAGCAGGAAAACAAATAGATCACATGAGGTGACAGAAGTATTCAAGATCTAATTGTTTTATATTACTATTAATAATTATTTCCCTGTTTGTCCAGCCGAACACCTGTCTTTCCGCTTTTTCATTCCTCTATCCTTTCATCCATTCATATCCCTCCATTCATTTTAATACTGTACATGTCAAGTCCTTAGTTTGGGCAAACTAGGAAAATACATGTAAATGTTGAAAATGAAAACTTTTTAAAACATTTATTCAAAATCATAGTTCTCAATGCATAAAAAACTGACTGTTAGTAGAAAGTTGTGTCTGCAGTCATGTAATGCAAATTATTGTCATTGTGTTGATATAATTTGCACATCTGCAGTGTACATGCATTTTTAAGAAAATATTGTCCTTAGAAGAGGTGGGGTGCACACTAAAAATGCTGAGTATAGAAGAATACATGAAGGGTCTTTCACTTGCCAATTGATTAAAACAAGCTAGATCAGAAATTATTTATATAACCAATAAATTTTATGCTGTTAAATGCAATTTAACAAAGTTAACAACAAAAAGTAGCTGGTATTTCTGGTCAGCCATATTCATATGGTATTCCATGCTCATTGCTCTTCACCATTGTACTAGCGTGTTCCAGCGTGGTGGTCCTTGGAAACGTCATTTTGGTCTATTTGTTGACGTCTCTCTGCTCCTGCCCTCCCCTCCATGTCTCCACTCTGTCTGTTAATTATAACTCAGTCTGACGGGTGCCTGGAAGACTGCTGGGGGCTCATGGCTGGGCTGCGGGGATTGCCAGCCATGGGAGCGTTATGCTTATGCAGTCTAGGAGCCGGCTGGTCACAGTGGAGGCCCCTGGATATCCCAGGCACTCATCTTCCATACAGCACGTCGATGCAGTTTGTTAATTGGCAATAAATCATTTCTGATCTAGCTTGTTTTATTTCTCACTGTATTTTAGGTTGTCATAGAGTTCTACTTTGCAAAACCAAACTGGCGTTTCACGTCAGGACCTCAAAATGATGAACACAAGGTTCCTGTTGGAATTAATTTTTACTCAGAATGGGGCCAATCTGTGATGAACTTGTTCAACTTTGATGCTGAGGCTGCTGAAACAACGGCTTTTGATGTGAAACCTTGTTTCAGTTGGGAAGAGCAGCGCTTTATTCAGTTTGCTTTGAATGGTGAGTGTGATATATGGTTGTGTAACTTGTTAAAGGGCATCAAGAACATTCTAATTCTGAGGATCTGGCGAACCTCATGGGTTGATCGTCAAGTCCAACTCTGGTTGTTTAGAGCATGAAGCAACTATTGAAGATTTAATGGTAACTTCTGGGTGGGGTGGCACTCAGTTGTAGGTTAACCCTCTCCACCTCCACTGAAGCTTAGAGGGACTGTCATTAAGGGTTGTTTAATCCGTTTTATTAAAAACTGTATCATTGGATAATGCAATTCCAGAGTTTCATCAACTGGCTTAGCCATCACAACCCTCCAAGTTGCGACCATTTTAGTCGCCAGCTCGGCGACTAAAATTAACGTGACCTATGCGTTAGGAGCTTGAGCGGACTATCATCCGGAGTGAAAAGAAAAACATTCTGAGCATTAAGAATTCACTTTGCAAAGCTAGTTGTTGTGGGATTTTAACCAACAGAAATGGAGACTGAANCATATATTTTGGCGACTAAAATTTTTCACTGGCGACCAAACCTGAACAGTCAGTGGCCAAATGGCCACTAAGGAAAAAAGTTAACTTGGAGGGTTGCATCATGGGTTAGGAGCCATTATACCATGTGCTAGGAATATGATAAGCATGCATGTGATCTTTTGGGGCATTTTTATTTGTTTTTTAGTTTACATGTAGTTTTCTATTTTTTGGGGGGTGTTTTTAATAAAACAATTATTCCAATCGCACTTGTTGGACATGAGATGATTGTAGCCAACTCGGCGCTACACACCTTGTTCGCTATCTATCATCTCGTACCCAACACGTGTTTGATATAATATTCCCCAGGTGTACTTTTTTCTGGCCTCGTTTTGGACTAGTGGCTTGTCCTGATGGACTAGTGATTTAGTTTGCTTACTAGCCCACTGCCTAGTATCCAAAAACATTAGGTGTTGAGCAATGAACAAGTGGCTTGTAATGTAATGATAGCCCTGCTTTGTCAGGTTGACAATTTGCAGGTACCCATTAATATAATTTTGAGGTACGCCATGAGAATGAATTGTGTAATAACCAAGACCTCAGCTGTTGAGCCTGGCCCAGTTCAGATGTCTTGGTTAAAAAAACATGAAATTTTGTAACTATTGATAGACTGGCCTGCCTAGACTAGCACTAGCTATCCACGGGCTAGTCCAACTGTGAAGTGTAACTGATTATTATAAGAAATAAATTGATTGATTGATTTAATGACTGATGATGCAATCATTTGATGATGCATTAGCCCACCCTGACTCAGAAAAGCAGCAGTGGAGTGGTTATTTAGAGACGTATCAACATTGGTAAAAAAATAAAATATGATTTTGCAATTGTTGTCTCTAAATGTCTACAGATAATGTGTTATTGCACCTGTAGACAAATACCAGTATGACAAGTATGCAGCTTCAAGGCAGTTCTTATTGGCTGTCACGAAGACCATCAGCACAGTCGCTAATGTGTCAATAATCAGAGTAAATGGCATTCGGGTAAGTGCATGCACTGGATTGTGTTGCTATCATTAATTATCTTTGACACTGTTTGACAACCTGATGATTGACCTTGAGTATGATGACATGACTCTGAAATTACATAATTTGCACATAAGGTTACCGTGGTAAATTAAGTTGTAAAATGCACAACATACATGTACATGTACATACATGACTGACTGATGCAAAAATGATAATTTTGCAAAGCTCATGTTTGCATCCCCATGCTACAGTATTTACAGATTTACAGGAGACAGCCTGCTGCAAGCATAAGACTGAGTCTGGGAGAAGTTGAAAGTTTTTGTAATGCAGTGTTGGAAACTATTAATTTTGACAGTACTTGCTATTTGGGCAAGTCACTCCCAAAATGCACTTACACAGTGTAATTTTCACTTGCCCAGAAAGATGTCTCCTCTCCCCACACCCCCAGGGCTGGAAAAAAACCCAGGCCTGATTGCCCAGCTGGGCAAGCAAATTTTGCTCTTCAGGGCAAGTGAAAATTGAAATTGAACAGTGGCCCTGTGGGCAAGTGAAATTAGCCTCAGTACTCCTGTCAGCTTGATAAATGATAATTTCCAATGAGACCTAAAGATTAGTTAACCATTGAGTTGAGAGCATGGATTAGTTAGGAATCTAAGCATACTTTGTTCACATTTGTCCTCTGATTTCCATACTGGCTGCCTCATCAACAAGTAGCATTTTGGTTGGGGGCAAACGAAAACTGAAATCTACTTAAGTAAGCCCACAGGGCAAGTGGATTTCATTTTTTGTCCTGCCCTGCTGACCCCCCAAGACAAAAATCTTCACAATGAATCACAAACCCCAAGTTAAATTACTGATTACTGCTTGCTCAACTAGGGACCAGCAGTAATACTTCATACAGTCATGTGTAACCGCTTTGTACACAATGTATCATCACTGCAAGGAACCCGTATCTCATTTTAATTGTCTATTTATGAAACACTAAGCTAAGTCATATATTACTGGCAAATTATTTTGGAATCTCAAAAGATATATTAAAAAATTTAATTAATGCAGAACTTTGGTAATTTTTCAGTTGGTAAGATGTTCTTGTCAAAATGGAAAATAAAAGAAGTTTTATTTATTTAATATTTAATCTTAAATAATTTCCCAAAAAATTAAAATCTTACCTACCTAACGGGTGAGTGATTGATGATCTGTACTCGCTTGATGCTTTTCACACTTGCATGGGGGAGCGTTGAGAGCACTAATTTCCAACACTGGCAATGTCTCACTGTGAACAGCAGTAATATAAATGGTATAAAGCATCTAACTGGATGACTTCACAGAAAGCACCATGTAGAAGCACTGCTTAATCCAACAATGTAAGTTTCATTTTCTGACTGAGAGATTTAGTTAGAGCTATCCTAAAAAGCATATTAAATAACAGTAAGTAGTGCATTGAAGTACATAATTGCATTAAATAGTTTAGTATAGACGTTGTTGACATTATAGGTGCAGAATAGCAGGGGAGGAATGGTAGTGACCTTCATCTTGCTGAACAAAACAAAGCTTGTGAGGGGTGATGTGGAGGTTATAGTGTATCCTGAGAAAGGACTAATGGATGCATTGAATGCCCTAAAGAATTCTGTACAGTCTGGACAATTCAAAGTGGAATTCCAACAAGGTAAGGACTGTAACAATAAATATGATTATGATGATGTGTCAACTGGGTTGGACACAACAGCAACAGTGTTGGATTTTGATTAGGAAAAGAAAACCAGAGGACCTGAAGAACATATCCTTGATACAAATGTTGAGAACAAACAACAAACCTAACTCTCTTTGTTGGATTCCCTGCCCACTCTCTCTGTATGTATAATAACAAATTACATCCCAACTGCAGATTGATGACTGCTTTACAGCATCTCTGTGAAAGTTACTGTATATAACTGGCATGAGTTCATTACCTTCCAGTCAGCATCAGTAGCTTGTATTACCATTAATTCAGAAACGTATGAAGGACAGTTACAGTAGTCTAGTCTGTCTTTTTAGAAAACAGCCCTAAGAAAGTACGCACGCTGATTGGTTGAAAATCGTGTTTCTATAACTTGATAGAAACACAGAACTAGCACAAGCTGTTGATGTAATGATGGTGCGTGCAAAGAGAATTTACATTTTGATGATCAAATTAAACAAGTCGTTTTCCTTTTTTTCATAACAGTGTTTTCTAAAAGAAGTAGAAACATGTTCTCTGTGTTTCTGTTGAGTTACAGAAACACTCGTGAAAGTTTGGGAGAACTCGAAAAAGCTGTGGAAACACTCGCCCTGTGGCTCGTGTTCCCACAGTATTTCCTGTTCTCCCAAACTTCCACTCTTGTTTCTATAACTCGATAGAAACACGGTACATGTTTTCTATTTCTTTAAAAATGTAAAATTATAGATTCTAATTATTCCTTTAATTTAGTGTTAGATCATGTACCACCTTTTGGTGATGAAAACTGGTCAGGTGACCAGCCATTTTGCATAAGTTAAGGCTTAATTCTATTTAAGGGGTCTACTCTCTAGAAACACAATCTTTGTGATGGAATTCCAGGGCCAATTTAACCAGAATCAAATTATGACTTCATGAAAAAAAAAGTATGACTGCAGGGGCATGTCCATGGTTAATAAAAATTATCTTCCTAAGTGCTTAGCATGTTTATGATGTCTATAAATGACAACAACAACAACAAGAAATGACAGCAAAGTGCCTTGGTTTGCCTGTTGCTACATGTAGCTATGGCCCTGGATTCTGTCTTACTTCCTGATAATTTGACTCTTTTTTCCTAGAAGGCTTAGCTCATTTTTTCATCTAGTTTAGACTCCATTTGCTCTTAGTATGATCAGTCTTGTAAACCTAAAATGACTGTTGACCTACCTGGACTCTTTATGCTGACAATATTATTGGCATCATTTTCTCTTGACAGAAAAAATCTATGCTACTAAGTCTTCATTCTATGTTGGGTTTTGGCCATCCTCTCCTCCGCACTCTGGGTCTCCACTTACCACTGCCAAACCATCAAACCAAGGAGGCAGTAAAATGAAGACAGAGGGTGTCTCTAGTGGTGCAGCAGCAGGAATTTCCTTCCTCATGCTTGCAGTTGGAATCTGTGGAGGCCTGCTTATTGCACATGTGATCATGAAGCGAAGGGGAACCAGCTTGTTTCAGTATCAGAGACAGGAGTAGCTTCATGTATTTCATTGCTACTGTACCACGGGGGCTTATTTCAAGATAGGGACCTAGATGCCATATAACATGAAATTTTACTTTGCCATATAACAACTTAATTTCATTTTGTGGAACTTAGTTTTCCTGAACTTACTTTAGCCAGTTTGTGAAACATTTTTTCAAGTAAGCACATTAAACTAGACTTTTTCTATGACTTCAAAAACATTTCCACATGTTAAAAAAAGAATAATGCAAAAATTTCAGGTTATGAGGTTGTAAGTAATCTATGTAAACCAGCACAAGAGTTAAAGTGTTCAATCACTCCTGCCCAGATAGGAATAAGCCTAAATTTGCAGGTACTAGACAGGCATAATGATAGCACATTTGTTAAAAAGAAATGTTTGATAATCCTAGTGTCTTCTTAGACATTATTCATATGTTATCATAAACAAGGGTTTCATTGAGGTTTTGATCAGGAGCACAACTGGTTTTAACAGACTGGCAAAACAAAAACTATTTGAACAGAACATTGGAACGAAAATGTTCCTCTAGATGTTCAAACCAGCTGGCCAAAATTGTCCTAGCAGCCGGTCAATTTGCCAAGTGCCGGGACCTTAATGAAAACCTTGTGATCATAAAATTGAATGATTTATAACTGCACACTCAGTAAAGGGTGCATAACAAAGTTATTTGATGAGCTGTCTCCATGTAGAAAGTGGGGTCAACCCTTTTGAAGGCTTATAGTTGCAAGTATTGACACCATACAGTATTTTGAGAAACCTTTCACTAGCGAGGGTGAGTTAGTGTTGGCCTTTTTATGGATCTGATGATCGTTAAGTGACTAGAAACTGTGTAGTATTTACTCACTCCATGCATCTTACAAGTGTTAGTAGGGTGTTCCATAATGGGGCACATAAAAGTTACTCACCAGAAGCTTTGTTCAGTCAAGAGATTCATAGAGACTAGCATGCTTACATGCATTGCTGATGATAAGATAAAAATTCTCCCAACTCATTTTTATATATTTGTTACTTCCAGTTGGGAGAATATCTTTAAACATCAGCTTAGACTATCTCAATGGTCGAACCATTTTGTTAATTCTCCTGACGTTAATTAGTGTCATTGTAGTCTGTATTCACTGTGATGGCAGGGAAGTAAGAATACCAGGTATTACACTATTTGTGAATAGTATTTGAAAATTCTCTCAAAATTGCATGAGCTGTGTGGGTGGGTGCAATTTGAAAGAATTTTCAAATATCATGACTAGTAGTGTAAATCTTTTAAAGCTCTATTAGTCTTTCATACAATTACTCCTGATTAAGAAAATTGTGAACACACGCAATAATTTGCTCGCAGTGCAAATTAAAAATTAATGATTAATTGGCCTGCTGTCAGCCAATCACAGTGAAGTAGTTTTCACAATCATATGCATGTGCATCTAATTAAAGCTATGTTGTAATAAATAATAGTAATAATACAGGACTTGGTATTCCAGACCACCGATTTAAAGAAAGGTTTTCCAAAGCTTATGTGGCAATGCTGAAAGGCAATCTGGGTAATAGTCAATTAATTTTAGTAAACACCCTGAACTTGAAATGTTTCCAGTTACATTGAAGATGTATGATGGCATGCAATGTGCATGGCAGA